TGGGATCAAAGTGCCCCCCAAAGCCCTGCCCGCGCAGCCTTCCTCCAGCTCCAAAGACCCCCCGGGGAGACCCTCCCCGACAGCGCCGCAGAAAGAGCCCCCGGTGCCGGCTGGGGTCGGGGGGGACTCGGCGCTGCCCGCCGCCGGCCCCGTGCACAAGCCAGAGAGCGTGCCCGCCCCGGGGGAGAAGGAGCCGGGCGCCTGCAAGCCGCCCCCCAGGTCCCACAAGAAGCCGGCGCGTGAGTCCCGCTTCCCCGCCGGCCGCGGGCGGGGGGTGCCGGTGGGGGCCGCGTAGCTGCGGGCCGTGGCGCGGGCTCCCAGGCCGGGTCCGGCTGCTCGGCGGCTGGGTTCGGCGCAGCGGCGGGGTAGGTAACCTCGGCGGCTCCGTCCCTCCGCCCGCCCGCGGAGGAGCCGCGGCGGCCCCTGACGGCGGCCCCCCCGTTCACCCGGCAGGTCTGGGGCCCCCCGCCGCGGGGGTGCCCGGAAGAGCTGCGTGCGGCGCGGGAGCCGCGAGCCCTGCGCCGTGAGCAAGAGCGCGAGCCAGGGCTGAGCCCCGCGAGCGGGACATGGACAGATGCTGCGGCGCTCGCGGGCACTCTCAGGCTACAGTGAGCGATGCCACGGCACAACCTAGGCGCAGGCCGGGGGCCGGGGGGGTCTCGCCCGGCTCCGGCGGGGAGCCCGGTGCTGATCTCACCGGGGGGCTCAGGCAGCGCGGGAGCCTCCACCGGGGCTGGCAGAGGCGGCGGCAGCCCGGTCGTCGTGCGTGGCTTAGCCCCGCGCCCCCCTCAGCCCCCCCGGCATCCCACTGCCTCGCTCTGCCCGCAGGGAAGGAGTGCGACCTGAACAAGCAGTGCGGCGTGCTGAACCCCGACACCAAGAAGATCTGCACCCGCCTGCTGACCTGCAAGGTAGCGCCTCGGCTGCCCTGGGCGGGGGGACGCGGTGCCTCCCAGAGGGTGTCCCCCACCTCGTGTGACCCCCCCCTGTCCCGCAGATCCACTCCGTGCACCAGCGCCGTGAGGTGCAGGGCCGCGCCAAGGACTTCGACGTGCTGGTGGCCGAGCTGAAGGCCAGCTCCCGCCGGGAGTCCCCGAAGGAGAAGAGCCCGGTGAGGAAGGAGCCGCTCCCCGAGCGCCCGGCCCCGGCTGCCCCCGCGCTGCCGCAGCCCCCCGCCGTCCCACCCAGCGCGTCCCCCTGCCGTGCCAGGCCCCCCCACTCCCACTGCCCACCCCCCAGGTGAGCGCCCGCCGTCCCCACCACCGGCACCAGCCCCGGCCGTGCCCGGTGGCTGCGGCTCTCACCGCCCCTCTCCGGTGCAGGGCCAGGCTTTCCTCCGACAGCGACCCCGAGGAGGGGGACGCGGGGCTGTTCCCCTTGCCCCTGCCCAAGGGGGGCAGCCGGGGGTCCAGCGAGGAGAGCGAGGAGGAGGGGGCCGAGGACGCCCACCGCCCCGACTGCCATTACGCGGCACGCCCGCCGCGGCCACAAGCGGTGAGTTTGGGGGGTGCCTCCTCGCACTGCTGTGGGTGGGCTTTGGGGTGCCCACCCTGACGCCCCCCACCCTGTGCCCTCCCCCTCCCCAGTTCTGCACCTTTGGGAGCCGCTTGGTCAGCCCGGGCTGCTACGTCTTCAACCGGCGCCTGGACCGCTTCTGCTCGGCGCTGGGCTCCATGCTGGAGCGGCACCTCAGCTCGCACATGTGGAGGTGAGGGGGGAGCCGGGGGGCATCCTGCCGGCCAGCGTGGCGCTTTGGGAGGGACCCAGGGGTGCCCAGGGCACCGAGTGGGGCCAAAGCTGCAGGGCGAGGTCTCTGCGGGGTTGCTGTGTTGGGGCCCATCCTCTTATAGCTGTATTGATGACTTGGATGAGGGAATTGAGCGCACCCTCAGTAGGTTTGCAGCTGGCACCAAGCTGGGGGGAAGAGTCGATCTGCTGGAGGGCAGGAAGGCCCCGCAGGGGGAGCAGGACAGGTTGGGTCAATGGGGACGAGGTTCAACACGGCTCGGTGCCGGGTCCTGCACCTTGGCCACAACAACCCCACTCAGTGCTATGGGCTTGGGGCAGGGTGGCTGGAAAGCTGTGCAGAGGAAAAGGACCTGGGGGTGTTTGGGCTGGGGAAGGGGAGGCTCAGGGCAGAGCTCATTGCTCTCTGCAGCTCCCTGAGAGGGGTGGGGAGCTGGGGGTCCCATCTGGGCAGGGAGCAGCAATTTGGGAGTCCCTCTCACCATCTCCTGTCCCACCCCACAGGAAGATCCCCCCGGCTGCCGAGCCCCAGCTCCACACCGCCCCGGCGCCCCCCAGCCCCGCCGCCTCCCCCTGCGGCCCCGCCGCCCCGGCCCCCCCGCCCCACACACGGACACCCCCAGTCCCTGCCGGCCCCCGGGACAGCCGGGGCTCCGCCAGCATCAACTACACGGTGGGGTCCCCGCACGCAGCGGCCGCCTGCAGCCAGCCGGAGTGCGGGGGGGGCGGCAGCCAGTCCATCACCTCCCCGCTGCCAGCCAACATCCCCTCGCCCTCCTTCAGCAAGTTGCCTTCCACCAAGGCCAGCAAATCCTCCCGGGCCAAGGAGGCGGCGGGCAGCACGGAGCCGGACGCCGTCGCCCGCAAACGCAAGCAGCCCCTGGGCGCCGCCGCCAGCCCCCCCTACAAACGGACCTGCCCCGGGGACGGGGCGAAAAGCAAAAGTCCCGGCTGCCAGGTCTCGCACCCCCCCGGCAAGACGAAAGCCACCCCGGTGTCATCGCCTGCCACCGCTGCCCTCAATGGCTCGGTGTGCACCGGCGGCCGGCTGAAGCGGGGCCCCCCCCCGGACTGCCGCGTCCCCCCCAGCACCACGCCGGAGCCCCAGGGCTCGCCGCTGCATGGGGCCGGGGTGCTCCCCCCACCCCCCCGCTGCATCTCGGAGGACGAGGCCAAGAAGCGCAAGAACACGGCCACGTACTGCCGGCCCGGGAAGCCCAAGCACGCCGCCCCCCCGCCAGCTCCCCCACCCGCCCCCGGCCCGGCGCCCCCTGACCCGGGCTGCTCCGTCCGCAGGAAGAAGCCGGGGACCCCCCTGGGCTTTGAGGAGAAGCGGAGCGCCCTGAAGGTAGGGCTAAGGAGGTGGTGGGGGCGCTGGAGGGGTCCCCACTCCGATCTGGAGGGCGCGAGTGGGTTTTTGGGGTGCCCCCAGGCATATTAAGGGCCACAGGAGAGCCGAGCAGCATCAGCTGGGTCGCACGGGGCAGGGAAATGGGGGGACCCCACAGGGCCGCCGGCACATATGGGGGATGGGATGGCACCTACCTCCTCCTGGGGCTCAGGGCCACTTGTGTGTGTCCCTTCCATGAGGGACACCCTGGTCCTGGTTGGGGGACACCATGGGACAATGTGGTATGGTGGGGGATGGCAGGGGAGATACCGTGCTGATGCCATCATCCCGATGTGTGGGACACCTCTGGGGACATCCGTGTCCCACGTTGGGGATGCCACAGGGACTCTGGGGATACCCTGGCCCCAGGCTGGGGATGCCATGGACACCCCTAGGGGACACCCATGTCCCAGACTGGGGGTGCTGGCACCAGGTAGGGGACTCCATGGAGGACACCGTGGTCCTAATGGGTTATCCTGGTGCTGTGGGGCTGCCCTCAGGGGGTGGCCGGCATGGGGACCCTCTGGGGACATCCTAACCCTGGGATGGGTTTGCCGTGGGGATACACTAACCCTGTACTGGGGACACCACAGGGATGCCCTGTCCCTGGGTGGGGGACACCATGGGACAGGGGTCACCCCGTGGCTGACCGACGCCTCTCCCTCCCCGCAGTCCAAAGCCCATTAACGGAGGGGCCGGGGGCTTCCATCACCGCCCGGGGCTGCTGTGCGCCATGGAGCCCCGCGCTGCCGCCAGGAAGCACCGAAAAGCTGCCGAGGGGAGAAAAACACAAGAGGAGAAGAAGAAGATGAAAAAAAAAAACCTCCAGAAAAATACCTCAAGACTCTTTGTTCCTGTTCCGTTGCTGCTAACCCAACCCCCGGGGAGAGGAGGTGGCCGCGGCCGGGGGTCCCGGTGCAGGAGCGGCCACGGGGCCTCCACGGGGCCACCGCCGGCTGCGGATATTTATAAGAATTCCTATTGCTGTTTTTTTTGGTTGATTCTTTTTTTTTTTTAAAAAAAAAAAAAAAGGAAAAAAGAAAATCCGTATTGCACAGGGTGCCTGGGGCCGGGCCCGGGGGTCCCGGTGGGGGGGTCCCCCTGAGGTCCCCGCGGTGCCAGGGGTGGCTGCTGGGGGGGACGTGGCCCCCCAGGACGGCGGGGGAAGGGGGAAGGCGGCGCCCCCGGGAGCCGAGCGGGGACGGGGCGGGGGGGCCCCGGTTACCGCAGGGGACGAGGGGGGGGGCGCGGGGGCGTCCTCCGGAGCCCCGCGGTGTCGCTGTCCCCGCGCCGCAGCCTCCTGCGGATGGGCAGACCCCGCCCCAAGCCCCGCCCCCATCAGGTAAGACCCCCCCCCTCCTGCCAGGCCCCTCCCACCGACCCCCCCGCGGCTTGGCCCCGTCCCGCCCGGGGGTCCCTGGGGTGCTGGGGGGGCCCTGAGGGGGTCACGGTCTCGGCGCGTGGCAGCAGCAGCGGGCGGGGAGCTCACGTTTATTGTCACCGATGCAGCAGCGCGGCCAGGGGACAGCACAGGGGGCGTGGGGGGGGGGGCTGGGGGGGCAGGCAGGGGCTGGGGGGGTCCCCGGCCACGGGACCCCCCCACGCGTGGGGCGGCGGCGTCACCACCCCGGGACGGGACCCCGAGGGGGGCGCCGAGTGGGGTCTGCTCCTGGCTCTGCACTGAACGGGGGGTGGGGGGTGGGGGGGGGGGCGAGGGTGGCCGTGCCCCGAGGCCCCCCGGTGGTCTCTGGGTGGCAGCTGTGGCCTTGGGGACATGCTTCCCGGGGGGGTCATGCGTCGCGATAAACATGCGGGGGGGCAGCGCCGTGGGGAGGGGGGGCCGGGACCTGGCTGCTGGCCCTGGGGTGCCCGTGCAGCGGGGGGGCAGAGGTGGCTCCGTGTCCTTGGGTGCCGTCAGTGGGGGTCCTGCAGTGCGCGGACCCCCGGGGGGGCTCCAGGTCGCGCCATCCCCGCCAGAGTCCCCGTGTCCCTTGTGTTCGGCGTGGCGGAGGCGACCTCTGTGGAGCCCAGGGCTGCGATGCACGCAGCGGGGGGGGCGGGCCGGCTGTCCTTCCTGCACCCCATCCAGCACGGACCAGGGGAAGGGTGCTGAGGGGGGGCGGGGGCACACCGGGGTGTCCCCCCTACACCACGATGGGGGTGTCCGAGAACACCGAGCTGACCGAGTCCGGGTCCGACAGCTTCCTCTGCGCTCGGGGGCCCTCCCGTGCTCCCGCCACCGCCACGGCCGGGGGGGTGCCCCCCGCTTTGAACCTGCCGTTCTGCCCCCCCGGGGGGGCGCGGGGCCCGGCGGTGCTGCGGGGCTGGGGGGGCTCCCCGGCGGCGTGGTTGGGGGTGGCGCTGAGCACGGAGGAGTTGAGGCTGTCGTCACGGGGGGCCGGCGTCTTGTCGGCGCCGCGGCAGCAGCAGCGGCAGGGGGTGAGGTACAGGTAGATGAGCACCAGCACCACGCTCAGGATGCAGCCCACCAGCGTGGTGTAGGCGGTGTTGAGGCCGTCGTGGGGGCCGTGCAGCGTGAAGTTGTGCACCAGCAGCTCCACGTAGAGCGTCTCGTTGAGCGCGGGGCCGGCCACCCGGCAGGCGTAGGTGCCGGCGTCCTCGGGGCGCAGCGCCCGCAGCTGCAGGCTGCCGTTGGCCAGCACGGCCGCGCTGCCGTTGCCGGCCTCCTCCGGCACCCGCTCGCCGCCCGGCGTCACCCAGTGCCGGCTGTGCGCCGCCCGCAGCCGGCTGTCGCAGCCCAGCGTGACCGTGTCACCCAGGTGCGCCTCCAGCACGGCCTCGCGTGCCTCGCTGCAGTTGAGCAGCTCGCGGCCGGCCAGCGCCAGGATGCTGACGGGCACCCCCGAGTCCTGCGGCAGGCACCGCAGCTCCTCCTGGAAGTCCAGCACGGCGCTGAGGCGGCGGCGCCAGCCCCGGGCCACCAGCTGGAAGAGCGGGCAGTCGCAGGCCAGCGGGTTGCCGTGCAGGTAGAGGCGGTCGCGCAGCCAGGCCGGCAGCGCCTGCAGCTCGGCCACGGGGAGGCTGCGCAGGCGGTTGGCCGAGAGGTCGAGCAGCGCCAGCTGCGGCAGGCGGCTGCCCTCGCGCAGCAGCTCCAGCGGGAAGCGGGCGATGTGGTTCTGGCCCAGGTAGAGCTTGCGCAGCCGGCCCAGGTTGTCAAAGGCGGTGCGGTCGACGGCGGCGATCTCGTTGTTGTAGAGCAGCAGCACCTCCAGCTCGGCCAGGTCGCTGAAGAGGTTCTCCTCCAGCGCCCGCAGGCGGTTGGAGGACAGGTCGAGGTGCCGCAGGTGCGGGACGTGCGCGAAGGCCTCGGTGGACACGAAGGCCAGCCCGTTGTGGGACAGCAGCAGGGCGTGCAGGTGCGCCAGCCGCCCCGGCGCCCAGTCGGCGCGCAGCCGGCTCAGGTTGTTGTGGCTCAGGTCCAGCACGGCGGTGAAGCGGGGCAGCGGCGCGGGCACGGAGCTCAGCACCGCCTGCGAGCAGCTCAGGATGTTGGAGGCGCAGACGCAGCGCTGGGGGCAGCTCCCGCCCGCCGCCCCCGCCGCCAGCGCCAGCACCGCCAGCAGCGCCCCCGGCCCCGCCATGGCCCCGGCCCCGCCGCGGGGCTGGGGACGGGGCCGCGGGGGCTCGTGCGGCCCGGGGTCACGGCGCGGGGTGGCTGCGGCCACCCGGTGTCCCGGCAGGTGCCAGGCCCCGCTGCCACCGGGCGGCTCCGCGCTCCCGCTGCCTCCCCCCCACCCCCCCCCCCACCGACCGGGCCCTTCCGCGCCGCTCCCGGTGCCCCCCGCGCCCCCCCCGCCTCAGCCCCGCGCCGCGGCCCCGCTCCCCCCGCGGCGGGCGGGAGGATGCCCGGCTCCCCCCCCACCCCCCCCCTCACCCACCCCCTCCCCACCGGGCGTTACCGGGGCCCGGGGCCGGGCCGGTGCCGAGGAGGGCAGCGGGGGAGGCCGGGCCGAGGCACGACGACGCGAACCGGGCCGGGCCGGGCCGAACGGGGCTGAGGCGAGGAAACCGAGCGGAACCGGGCCGAGCAGAACCGGGCCGCGCCGAAACGAACGGGGCCGAACGGGGCCGAACCGGGCCGGGCCGAGCCGGGCCCCGCGGGGCTGCAGCGCCCGCCCCGGGACAGAGCCTGGGGGCGGCCCCGGCGCGGCGGCCCCCGCGCACGGCGGCTCCTGATTGGCTGCCGCCGCGCCGCACGCGGCCAATGGCAGCGCCGCCCGCTTAACCCCTCGTGGGCCGCGCCCCGCCCCCAGCCCCGGCCCCGGCCCCGACCCCGGCCCCAGCAGCACCCATCAGACCCTGACCCTGACCCTGACCCTGACCCTATGCCAGCCCCATCCCATCCCTGGGCCCATCCCATCCTATCTGCATCCCATCCCCATGCTAGCCCCATCCCCACCCCATCCCCATCCCATATCCCCATCCCATATCCCCACCCCATCCCTACACCATCCCATCCCATCCCATCCCATCCCATCCCATCCCATCCCCATTCCATCCCCATCCCTATCCCCATCCCTATCCCCACCCCATCCCATTCCCATCCCCGCCCCATCCCCATTCCATCCCCATCCCTATCCCCATCCCTATCCCCACCCCATCCCATCCCATTCCATCCCAATCCCATCCCCATCCCTATCCCTGGTCCCACCCCATCCCATTCCCATCCCCGCCCCATCCCCATTCCATCCCATCCCATCTCATCCCTATCCCTGGTCCCACCAGCACCAGCACAGACCCCAAGGCCCTGGCCCGCATCCCTTGGTACCAGCCCGACCCCCACGGTACCAGCCCGTACCCCCAGTGCTGCCCCAGACCCCCCAGTCCCACCCCAGTTTCCCCAGTCCCGCCCCCATCCCAGCAGCACTGGCCTTCAGCAGGCCACTTGCCACCCTCAGGATGAGTTGGGGACCCCCTGCCCTGGGTCCCCCCTGAGGGGCACCCTTGGGGCTGCTGCCCCCGGCCAGGCAGAGGGTGACCCCTTTTCTCCCCTTTCCCCCTTTCCCCCTTTCCCCCTTTCCCCCCTTTCCCCCCCCTCCCCGATGTGCACAGTTGTTTCTCTGCCTCCCGGGCGTATTTTTAGATGCAAACATTTGTGCCGTTTTTTTGGGTCCAAAATTAGAGGGAAAGGAGCTGGAACAAACAGCGCCGTGATGATGCAGCTTTTTATTTGCAGGGGGGGGGCGGGGGGGGGAGTAATTAAAGGGGAGCTCCTGCGAGGCACAGCGGGGTGTCCCTGGGCTGCCCCTCACCCTGTCCCCCCCCCGCCCCCACTGCCCACTCCCTGCCCCACTTGGGGTTTCTGCACCCGTGCGCACGCCCCGAGCCGGGTGACACCAATGCTGCCCCCCCTGCCCCCCCCCTGCCACTGTCCCCTGCTGCTGGACCGGGATTTTTGTCCTTTGATCGTCCTCAATTTCTCTGCCATAATCCAGATGCTAATCCCTGCCCTGTGCCCACTGCCAGCCCGGCCCCCGCCCTGCACTGAGCCCCCCCGCGGCAGCCTCACCTCCTGCCCCCCCGTGCCTCAGTTTCCCTGCCACAGCATGGTCAAGGGTGGGCCTGGGGTCTCCCCCCCCCTCCCCTTGAAGCACCCATTTGTGGGGGGGCTGCATGGCCCCGCTGCGGGCACCCTGCTGGGGGGGATGCTCCCGGTGCCTTCCCAGCTCCGGGATGGTTTCGGGGTGCTGGGCCTGGCCCTGCTCCTCCACATGCCCAAAATGCTGGGGTGCTGGGGGATGGGGGGGGAGCAGCACGGCCGAACCCCCGCCCGCACCAAAGCACCACCGGGGTGCCGCTGGGTTATGTGGGCAGCCCGGTGCCGGTGCCGGTGCCGGTGGTGCCGGTTCACACGAGGTCCTGCGTTCCTAATCCGGTGCGGCCAGGTTTATTTCGGGTGCCCGTAGCCTAGCAATGCGCACGTGACCGCCGGGCCTGCGGCAGGGACACGGTGCCCGCTCGCCGCCTGCCCCCGGCACGGCCGCCACGCCACGCGGCCCCACGCGACGCCCACCCACCCGCACGTCCCGGGGGGGGGACGGGGCCCAGGGCACTGCCGGGGGAAGCTCCCGGCCTGCGGAGGCCTTCAGGGGGGTGCCGGCCCCCGGGGGGTGGTGGGGACTCCCCCACGTTGCAAACTGCGGGCTGGGCACCTGGGGAAACTGAGGCACAGCACGCGGCGGGGGCACCCCCCCACCCCCATCCCAGTGGCTTCATTGCTGAACTGGGAGGAGGTGATGGGGTGCTGGGAGGGGGGGGGGCAGAAACAGGTGCCCTGCAACCCCCCCAGGTCCCTCACCCTGCTGGCCCTGTGCCCCTGCACCCGTCCCCATCCCCACTCTGTGCCCCCCCCTTGCAAAGCTGCCCCATGGGCCCAGATCCCCCCCAGGTGCCCCCTGCACCCCCTCACCCCACGCCTGCCCCTTTGTCTCCCCCCGTGCCCCCAGGGGCTTCGGTCTCCCAGTTCCCCCAGTGCCTCCAGAGCCCTCCCCAGCACCCAGCCTTGGGCACTGCCCCCCCACACCCCCACTGGGACCACCCCGGTGCCACAGAGACCCCCCCACCTCACAGAGACCCCCCCACCCTCACTACACGCCCCCACCCCCTCAGCGACCCCCCACCCTCAGAACGGACCCTCCGGGCCAACAGCGCCCCCCCCGCCCCCACGAGGACCCCCCAGCCTCGGGGGGGGGCTGGGGAAACTGAGGCACGGCCGATGCTCGGGGCCGCTTCCCCCCCCCACCCCCAAACCCCATCCCCTGGGGGCGTTGGGCAGAGCCGCGACCCCCCCCTCGAGACCCCGCAGATGAGGGGGGCTCGGCGGGGCCGGGTCCCCCCCCGTGTCCCTGCCCGGGGCCCGGTGGTCCCGGGGAGCGGCGGCGCGGGCGGGAGGCGTTTAGGACCCAGCAGCCCGGTTGGTGCGGGAGCATCCCTCGCCGCAGCGGCTCCAGCACCGGCCCCGGCCCCGAGCATCCCCGCCCGGCTCCGGCCGGGGGCCCGTGGAGCCCCCCCCGGGGTAGGTGCCGGGGCCGCGGCGGAGCGATGCCGGGGGGGGGGGGGTCGGGGAGGCAGGGCTGGGGGCGGTGGGGGGGGGGGGGGCGGTCAGGCGGGGGTGGGGGCACCCCCTGCACCCCCGTTCCATCACCGGGGGGCACCGGCTGGTCTCGGGGACCCCCCCACACCCTGCACCGGGGGAGCACCCATGGGTGGGGAGGGGCGGGGGGGGGGTTCCCGGAGGGCCCCCGCCCCGGTCCCCACTCTCTCCGGGCTGTGTTTGGTGTGTGTGTGTGGGGGGGCTCCCCTCTGGGACGGGCAGGGGGTGTGGGGGCACACGCGGCCCCCCCAGGTGAGGGGGGGACCCGGGCGCCCAGGACCTGGTGTCCCCGAGCCGGTCCCGGCACAGCCACGCACGGTGCCCAGGCTCTGGGCAAAGGATGCAGGTGGGTGTTTGGGGATGAAGCAGGGGACTTTGGGGGGGTTTAGCCCCAGAATCGCTCATTTTTCAGGGGAGCAAGGGTTTTCCTTGGAAAAGGGGTTTGGCGGGGGGGTCGTGATGTGGGGGAACGCAGCAGTGCCCAGGGTGTGGGGGGCTGCACTTGGGAGTCACAGCGGAGCTGGGACACCCACCTGGGGGCTCGCGGGCCCCAGTTTGCTCCCAGCACCCCCGCCGTGCCACGCCGCTGACGCCTTCCCCTTCCCCGCAGGCACGCGGCTCTGCCCGGCGGAGAGGAGCGGGGAGATGAGCGGGGCCGGGGGGCACCCCTGGGTGCACTGAGTGCCGCGGGCTCGGCAGAACCCATCCCGCACCAGCACAGCGGGGCCGGGAGATGGCCCGGAGCCGGTGTCGGGCGTAGGGTGGCAGAGATGTGAGCACCCAGCGATGCCCCGCGGCCCTGCGCCGGAGGCCCCGAGGATGGGCGATGGGCCGGTGAGCGCAGCGGCACAGCATGGAGCCCTCCCTGCCCGCCCCCTGGGCCTGGAACGGCTCTAGGGCGGCGCGGGCGCTGCAGCCCTCCCCGGGCCCCATGCCCCCCAACAGCACGGCCGACGGCAAGCCCAAGGACGTGGCCTCCAAGTCGGTGGGGCTCTTCTTCATGCTGCTCATCGACCTGACGGCCATCGTGGGCAACGCCGCCGTCATGACCGTCATCGTGAAGACGCCGGCGCTGCGCAAGTTCGTCTTCGTCTTCCACCTCTGCCTGGTGGACTTCCTGGCCGCCCTCACCCTCATGCCGCTGGAGATGCTCTCCGGCTCGTCCATCTTTGACAGCCCGGTTTTCGGCGAGGCCATGTGCCGCGTCTACCTGTTCCTCAGCGTCTGCTTCATCAGCATGTGCATCCTCTCCATCTCCACCATCAACGTGGAGCGCTACTACTACGTGGTGCACCCCATGCGCTACGAGGTGCGGATGACGGTGGGGCTGGTGGCCTGCGTGCTGGTCGGCGTCTGGCTCAAAGCCGTGGCCACCTCCCTCGTGCCCGTGCTGGGCTGGCTGTCCCCCGACCGCCCGCCGGCGCCCGCCGGCCGCGGCTGCTCCTTGCAATGGAGCCGCGGCCCCTACTGCAAGTTCTTCGTGGTCTTCTTCGCAGCCTTCTACTTCCTCCTGCCCCTCCTCATCATCGTGGTGGTCTACTGCAGCATGTTCAAGGTGGCGCGGGTGGCAGCCATGCACCACGGTCCCCTGCCCACCTGGATGGAGACGCCGCGGCGGCGCTCCGAGTCGCTCAGCAGCCGCTCCACCATGGTGACCACCTCGGGGGCCCCCCGCACCACCCCGCAGAGGACGTTCGGGGGGGGCAAAGCAGCCGCCATCCTGCTGGCCGTGGGGGGCCAGTTCCTCTTCTGCTGGCTGCCCTACTTCTCCTTTCACCTCTACACGGCCCTGAGCGCCCAGCCCTTGGCGGGGCCAGCGGCCGAGACCGTGGTCACCTGGCTCGGCTACTTCTGCTTTACCTCCAACCCCTTCTTCTACGGGTGCCTCAACCGGCAGATCCGCGGCGAGCTGGGCCGGCTCCTCACCTGCTTCTTCAAGCAGCCGCCCGAGGAGGACCTGCGGCTGCCCAGCCGCGAGGGCTCCATCGAGGAGAACTTCCTGCAGTTCCTGCAGGGCACCGGCTGCCCCGCCGAGCCCCGGCCCCGCCTCGACACCCCCAGCCCCAAGCGGGACCAGCCCCCCGTTGACTTCCGCATCCCGGGACAGGTCGGCGAGGACGGGGCCGAGGGGCCGGAGCGGCGCGGTGCTGACGGGACCCACGCGGCCGCCCCCGTCCCCGTCCCCCCGGGGCTGTAGCGTCCCCGCGGTCGCGTTCGGCTCAAACACGGCTGCACGGGGACGGCTGCCCCGCTCCGCTCTGCTCTGCTCTGCTCTGCGTGCTTTGGGGTCTCACAGCACTCGGGGGGTTTGGGGACCTCCCGGGGGTGCTCCCTCCTCGTGCCCCGTGCCCCCACCCTGGGGTGCGCGAGGCCTCCGGGCTCCCTGGGCTGAGGGGGGGTCGCGGCCCCGCAGGCAGGTCCCAGGGGGGCCCCGTGCTCCAGCCCAGCCCCGGCTCTAGGGTCCCGGGGGGGTCCCAAGGGGGTCCCAGGGGGGTCCCAGGGGGGTCCCGGGGGGGTCCCAGGGGGGACCTCGGGGAGCAGCGGGGGGGAATCCCGGCCCTGCTGCCCCGTGCCCCGTCCTCGGCCTCCTCCCCGTGCCCCGGGGAGCTCGGGGCCGGGCCCCCAGCGCCTGACCGGGTTGGGGGGGGTGTGTGGGGGGCGTAGGGGGGCTGCCAGGCCCCTCTCGGCCTCGGGACTACAACTCCCGTCGTGCCCCGCTGCCCCCGGGGGGCGGAAGCGCAGCGCGTGCCCCTCGCTTCCCGTCGTGCCCCGCGGCCCCGGGCCGGAAGCGGCGCGCTCCTCCCAGCTCCCGGCAGGCCCCGCGCGTAACGGTCGCGGCGGGCGGGCGGAAATCCGGCGCCGCCCGGGCGGGGGGGAGGCGGCAGGGAGGGAGGGAGGGAGGCGAGAGGCGCGGCCCCGCTCCGCTCCGCTCCGCTCGGCCCGGCCCGGCCCGGCCCGGCCCGGCCCCGGCCCGCCGCCGCCATGGGCTGCACGCTGAGCGCCGAGGACAAGGCGGCGGTGGAGCGGAGCAAGATGATCGACCGCAACCTGCGGGAGGACGGCGAGAAGGCGGCCAAGGAGGTGAAGCTGCTGCTGCTCGGTGAGGAGCGGGCGCCGCCTGCCCGGGCTCGGCCCCCCCTCATCCCCCCTCCAACCCCCCCCTCCCCTGGGGGCTCCGTCCCCGCAGGGCCCCGCTCCCGGCGGGGCTGGCGCTGAGCCCGGGGCCGTGCCGGGGCCGGGGCCGTGCCGGGGGTTCCTGCCCGTGAGGAGGAGGCGCTGCCCCGCCGGGGGTTCGCTGGGCACGGGGCTGCCCCCGCGCTGCTGCTCTGCTGTGGGGCGGGGCAGGGGGAGCCCCCCCGGACACGGCCCCCTCGTGCTGTGCCGCCCGGGGCCTGTGCTTGGGGCAGCGCCGCTGGGCCCCGTCCCAGGTGGGGGCGGGTGGGGTCGCTGAGGGCCAGAACAAAGGCGCCTGGGTCCTCCCCTTCGAACAGAAGGATCCTGCCTTCCGAGGGGTCCTCCTCCTGTGAACGCTTCTTCTCCCCCTTTTAACTTGTTTTTGCTCCTGTCCTCGAGAAACGCGCTCTGAGCTCTGATCTGCGCACACGGAGAGCTTCCCGGCCGAGGGGCAGGATAATCCTTTATTCTGCGGGGATTTGTGCTGTTGACAGTAAGCAACGCTCGCACATTCCCAGGGAGAGCGCCCGGCACAGTTCTCCCTTTGTGTTTCCTGTGCCAGGTTTTTTCTCTGCGGTCTGGTGTTCTCTGTGGCAACGTGGGAAGGGCTGTAAGGATTTTGGGGCAGGACTGCCTGACCTTGGCAGCGGGTGACAGAGTTACCCAAAAGGTTGTCCAATAATTGTCTTCAGAGCGCGTTAACCTAGAGCCCGGGTGAGACTCCAGAACCCAAGCAGCAGTTGTGTTTTGGGGTTTCTGATGGCTTTGGAGGCAGCGAAATGCCTGCCTGCTGTGCCTTCGGGTACTTTGTCAGTAGTGGGGTCACGTACGTTGAAGCCCAGTGAAGCTCTTCTGGGATAACTGGGAGGAGATCTGTGTCGGGCCTTGGATTGGGTTCACGCTTGGCCGTGACCTGCATCCTGTCCCCATTGTCACAGTTTTCTAGTTGAAAATTCAGTGGAAGGATTCCTGCTGATCAAAGGGTGTTTGGTGGCGCTGAAATGTGCCCTCCCCACGTGCAGCTCTGTTAATGAGCAGGTAGAGCAGAGCAGCCAGCTGCCAGCAGAAAACAATCTGCAGTGGGAACAAACGCCCTTTCGGGGAGGCATCGAGGAGCTGATGGAAAAGTTCACGAGTTTTTTCCATTGTTTGAGCAAGCATTTTTTTCCCAACGTAGCATTAAGATGTCTCGGATAAGTAGTGTCTCGTATCATTAACTCGTCGGAGCTCCTGCGGTGGTTTATGTAACCGGAGCGAGCCTCCCGCCGTTCTGCTGATGCAGTGAAGTTTAGCAGAAACGCATTTCTCTAGAGAGAAAAGTTTGGACTCCGTATGTTCTTCCCCAGCCCTGTGAAAATCGCTGCCCTACTTGGGGCTCCGCAGAGCCCCATAGGTTAAGGGGAGGCTCACGTGCGTTCTGTGCCAGGTCTGGTGGGAAGTGAGCGCTGCGCCCAGCCCCAGGGCTTTTGTTCCTTAAACAGCCTCTCCTCCTTGGCAGAGGAGGAAGGAGAGGGGGTTGACGTGTCCCCTTCTGCTTCCCAGAGCCTCCCCAGGACTGAGGTGGGAGATGGGACCCCGCAGGGGTTTGGGTGCTGGCCGAGGTAGCGCCGCTCACTGGGTGAAGGTCCGGGAGCTGCAGGTTTGTGCGGTGGCTCCCGCGTGGGGGTCTCAGGTCACCCGGAGCGTTTCGCTTCCACAGCACTGCCTGCTGAGGAACTCCTGCGAGGCTTTTTGGTGTTTCCCAGAAATAAACGTGAGCGGTGCACAGCAGCTGAGCCCGGGTCCTGCCACCCCCTGCCTGCGAGGCGATGGTTGCTCGGTGCGTGCCCACCGCCAGCGGGGCCGGGCAGGGTCTGAGCGCGTGGCGGTGGGCGAGGGCTCACCCCAGAGCCCCGCCGACTGCTGCCTCCCCGCTCCACCTTGCCCCTGGGACAGTGCCATTGTGCAGGCGCGGGCATGCGATTTGCCTGACGTAGGAAGCCGTGGGATTTTCCAGCCAGGGTGAGCAGCAAAGCGCAGAAGGGCCGGGGGCTCTGTGCTCCTGCACCTTCCAGAGGGGCTGCGCCGGGTCTCGGAGGGCTCTGGGCAGCTCCGAGGCACGAAGTCACTGCCGGGTGCGTGTGGCTGTCCCGCTGCACGCTGCGGAGAGGTGTGGAAAAGGCCTGGGGTGGGTGGGTGCAGCCAGCCCCAAATCGCGTGTGTGCAGAACGTGCCCGTGCCCAGCCCGCTGCGGTGCTACGGGGTTGGGATGCTCTGCGTGGTGACATGGAAGGGCTCTTGCTAATTCGTGCAAAAATAATTAAAAGCATAAATTTGTTCTAAAATAGCCTTCATCTGCCTAACTACCCCAGCAAACTGCGAGCTCTGCTACTCCTGGAGACTTCAGCTGTTTTCCAAGGCTGCCGTTCCCCCCTCCTTTCCCCCAGTTCACCTCATGGTGCTCAGCCGGCCGTGGCTGTGCTCGCGTGAAGCGCAGAGACGGCTGTTCTAGGGATGCAAATCCAGGCCAAGCTGTTGTTGCCGTCCATACCACAGGTCCCTACAGGCAGCTTTCCCCTGCTTCTCACAGCGATGGTGTCAGGGGACTGCTGGGGCACCGGGCCCGGCTGCCCCTCGCCTCCGGAGCTGCTCGGTGCTCCCTGCGGGGCGGTGCTGGCCCCGTCCCGTGGTGGCTGCCACGTGCTGCCCTCGCGTCTGGAGCGCTCCTCCTGCAAGCTCTGGTCTCGTGAGTGGCCACGTGAAGGTTTTCTCGCAGGCGCAGCAGTCAGGGTTATGTTTTCAGAAGGCAGTTCAGTATCTCCGTGCCGTTAGCTCTGCCGGGCGTTTGGGAGCAGCTCTGTGTGAATGAGAACCCGGCTCGTGGCGCCTGGTGCCCGGCTGGGGCTGAGGAAGGCTCTCTGTGTGCCCACCACCTCCCGGGCTGTGCCCGTGTTGTTGCTGCCACTTTGCACCTCGCAGGGGTCGGGTGCAGGATCCAAACCCTGCTGCTTGGTCTTCACCCCCCAGGATGGGGTACAGGCAGGTGAAGGCCAGCGAGGTGCGAAGCGCTCACCGCAGAGCGGTGATGGGAGATTTCACAAAAATCCATCTCAGTCTTTGAGGCTTGGCCCTGGTCGCTCAGGGTGAGGGCCAGCTTCGCGTGCCGCTGCACAGCGCGAGCTCCTTGTGCCGGGCAGGCTCCTGCTTCAGCCGTGTGCTCGTGCAGAGCCGAGGGGCGCGGTGCTGATGGCGCTGCAGGCGGAGCAGCTGGCTGGGGGTTCAGTGTTGTGCCCCATCCTCCCAGGGCTCTCTGGACAAGGTTCAAGTTTCATTAAACACAGAGGCAGAGCATCAAAATAACTTTTTTTTTTTTTAACAAAGAGGGATTTTTTAATTTGAACACAGCTTTTTTAAAAGTTTTGAGCAACGAGCTTGCGTGCAGCTGCAAAGGCACCGTGCTCCTCGCTTCTGGTCCTCAAGGTGCTCCTCCCTCACTCGCCGTGCCACCGCCTTTTGTTCCCGGCCCCATACAGCGATCCCGAGCAGCCGTGGCCATCACCAGAGGCACGTCTCCTGTTTCGTGTTTTCCCAGTTGGTGTTTGGTAACCGCTCGGACTCGTTTACCCTTCTCTCCTTACCGTGGTGGCACCAACTGGGCCAGCTCTAAAAGCAAACAGCGAGCAGGCAGCACGTGCTGCTTCCTGGCGGGGGGCTCGCGGGCTGTCCCCTGCCCGCCTGCTCCTTTTGATAACTGTTTGTAAAATCTCAGGGCTGTTGCTCCTCCATCAAATTCAGCGGTTATTTAACGTCATTTCACCCGGGTCACAAGGAAAATGAGACACTCAGGCAGCAGTGCTAGCGAGGAACTTTTTTTCAGACCCTTGTCTTCATCGTTCCCTCCATGTCTGCCCAGCCTGGGTCTCTGCTGCTCTGGGGCACAGCTCCCACCTCGGGGGCCTTGGTGGCGGGGTCTGCCTGCCCCCCCCACCCCTGTCCCTGGCCTGTGCCTTTCCTCCCGTGGCCCTACACGCACCCCCGTGCTGGGTCCTGCCCAGAAGGGCTGCCTCCGTGCAGGCTGAACGTGGCTTTGGGCTGACTCTGCAGCAGGTTGGGGAAGGCGCAGCGCTCAGCTCCGCTCCTGCAGCGCGTGGTGAGGCTGAAGGCAAAAGGCTGGGGGCTCGGAGGGGCGCCCAGGCAGCCAGGAGGGGGGGTCGCTTGCTTTTCGGCCGGGAGCCGCACCACGAGAGCGTGCTGCGGGGCTGTGGGTGGGGCGGGGGGGTCGGGGCCCTTGGCACAGCACTGGGGGTCAGGGTGCTGCTGGCTGCGGTGCTCGTGGGGCTGCCGGGAGCTGGTGCCAGCTTTGCAGGGCACGGCTGGTGCAGGTGGTTCTGGCCGGCTGGCCATCTAATGGTGGGGACTGGGCGGTTGTCCCGCTGTCTGTGCTTGTTCTTGGGCCTTTCAGTTTGTGGTTCGCAGCAGTGGGTCAGCTCCACCAGCCTTTCTGTGCGCTGGGGGGTTGGGATGAGATGAAGCGGCTGTAAATCAGACATGAACTTTGATTTGGTTCTTGCCATGGAGGAAAATAGTTCCTGTTGTTTGTTTTCCTTCCGGAGAAAAAATTTTGTATCAAAGGTAAAATGGACGTCGCAAGAGTTCAGGCTGTTCCCGTTACCTCACGCTGTCTCCCAAATCTTATTGCAGCTAGCCTTCAGTTTTTGCAGTGCAGGAGGCTCCCCTGGCCCCCCTGGCATCCCGCACCGGGTGCAGCCGGAGTCGCTTCACCAGCGCTTGCAGCCTGCTTGGAAGCCGCTGGGTTCGTGGGCACCAGGATCTGGCCCTGTTGCAGCAGCGTGCGAGGACAAAGAGCAGCCTGCGTCCTGCCAGCGCTGGCCTTTTCTTCTCTCCCCAGTTTCTAACTGTTAATTTTACCAAAGGGGAGCTTTTTTTTTTTTTTTTTTTCTTTTTTTTTTTGACACCTTTAGGTATGTCTCTGCCTGGTTTTGTGCCTCTTTCTGCAGTTTCTCGGTGCCGGGGGTTGCTCCAGCTGTGGCCAGCCTGGAGCCTATTGGGTGGATGTGGGATTCCCTGGGCTGTATCCAGCCCCCCCGGAACGGTTGAGCAACGATTTTGGCCATGTTTGGCCGAGGAGCCTCAAAGTGAGGGCTTCGCCTGCCTGGCTGTGGGGTGATGCCGCCTGCTTCGCGTGCTGCAGGTACTGGCCCTGCCCCGGGTCTCTCCCCCAGCTCCCTGTGAGCCCCGCGTGGAGGCTGCATTAAAAATTTCCCCTGAAGCTTTAAGGCAGCGCTCAGGCGTTCAAAGCCTTCATGTAAAATAAGGCTGATGCCCTAGGAAGGTTCTAGGCAAAAAGAAAAAGGTGAAGGATGGGTGCTTAGGAGCTCGTGTTGCTTACGAGCCGTTTGCAGCTTTGTGGTTTCAAGCCTTAATTTTTCAGGCTTACACAGACATCGATGGCCAAATAATGCAGGCAAGGCTCTCTCCCTTCCTTCTCCGTACAGGGATGAGGTGGGGTTCATATGGCAAAGATGCACAGTGGCATGCAGCGTGAGGGCTGCCTGCGGGGCTGTGCCGGGAACCCCCCACATCGTGCTGGGTGCCGGGGGGGCCTCGGGAGTCAGCGTGGTGCCAGGGCTCTCGGAGGTGAGGTTTTCGGAAGGGCTTCCTGCAGAGGATCCTCTGCTGTGTGCAGAGGCAGCGATGGCTCGTCCTGTACCGTTGGCTCCTGCTAGAGCCGGGCCCTAGGCAGCCCACAGGCCCGTCTGGGTACGGGTGTTGTTTTTTTTTCCAGCGTGTGGTTGTCGCTGTCACAGCGTGTCAGCCGCAGCCGTTCTGATTCCTGTTGACTTTTCTAACAATAGCTGTGTCTCGTGGGGCCCGCTGGCCTGACACCGCTGCCCTCCTTTCTGATGGCATCTCCTTTCCCTGATTCCCGGGGCTGGGTCCTGGAGTCAGCCAAGCTCTCCTGGCCTTGTGCTATCCGAGAGCTTCCCGGGGCTGCGCTGAAATAAATAAAACATCTCTGCAAGGGGAGATGTGATGGGTATCGGCGGGGCCAGCAGTGTGCACAGCAGGGGGGGGTGTTGGGGCCGGGGGTGCAGCCTGCGCAGGAGGAGCGCGTGCCAGGGACGTGGCCTCCTGGAAAACCGCGTCCTAGAAGCGTGTTTGTGTATAAAGGCAAATATCCACGGCTGTTTGCTAGGGAGGGGCTAGAATAAATGTTGACAAAAGGAAACATCTGTGCTGTTGGGGAGATAGCGTCCCCCCGGGGATGCTGACGAGCGCTCAAGCAGCCCCTGCTCTGCCGTGGTCCCGGTGCTGGAGGGGCCGGGCTCCCCCCGGCTCCGTGCTCCAGCCCCTGGGCTCCTTCCCAGCTGGGTGACCCCACGTCGCTCCCGGGGCTGTTCCCAGGCTGTTGGCTCTGGCAGTGCCTGTGAGCTTCGGTGGGTTTTGGGGTTCGGCAAGGATTGAGCATCCCCTGTCTCGGCAGCGGTCTGCCGAGGTTTCTGCCAAGCTCCTGCTGTGGTTTCGCAGCGGATGCGGGCTGTTGCTGTAGTTACGAGCTGTGCGTGGCCTCCTCCAGAGGCTAGGGATCAGCAGCGTGTCAGCCTGCTAAATTTTTGGGCTTTAATGGATATTCCAGGTGCATCTCTTCCAAGTCTCGAGTAAGAATTTGTTTTGGCAGTAACCTGGTTTCCCTCCTGAAACTTTCAGATGCTTCAGGGCTTCTCCCCTTAACTGGGGGGAAAAAGTCCTCACCTGAAGTTTTGATCGAGCTTTAGAAAGAGCACTTTGCTTAAAATACCTTCTGAAACAGTGAGCTTGCTCGGTGCTCGTGTCTGGAAGGTGCAGGCAGTCTTTGGCCTCCCTTTCTCATTTCCTCGGCGGTGTGAATGAAGAGGTAATTTCTTTAAAAGCGGCTGTTGTACCTGGAGCACAGCCGTGCAGGGCTGCAGTTCCCGGTCCGCTCTGTGTTTTGGTGCCATGCTCGTTGCCCTCTTCCCCGAAATCTTGTGAGCTCCAGGCTGTGCGGGGCTGCTTGGCTCTGCACCGCTTGTTGCAGCAGGGCCCGGGGCTGCCTCAGGTTCCCCCCCGTCCACCCCGGGAGTAAGCAGGGGCTGGCTGGGGGCATTCGTCCCAGCCGGCTTCTGGGGGAGCGATCCTGGCCCTGCGGGGTGAGCAGAGGAGCAGTGACTGCAGGGGGGTCTTGCGGGGTCAGTCGGGGGGGAGCCGTTTCTGCCAAAAGCAGCAGGAGGTTTGGGAGGGGAAATTGCCCTTCCTGGGGCGTGCAGGCAGAGCTGTGGGATCAGCGTGTTCCTTGCTGCCAGGCTGGGAGAAGAGGCGCTGGGCTTGTGAAGCCTTCTCTGCGCATCCCTGCTCCGGTCAGCCGTGGTTTCTGCTGGCGAAAGGCGATCTCCCTGTAACTGCTACCTGAAGCACAGAGGAGAGGCTCGCTGTGTGACAGTGAGAAGTGCCCAAGCAGTGTTCCAGCCCTGGTGTCGCTGGGCCCAGTGACATCCAGTGGCTCATTTCCTGTTTTTTCAGCTCCTCAAAGCACTCCGGCTCCCGGCTGCCTGCTCTTCTGGAGACCTGCAGGCCCACGAGCGCTTCCAATGCCACGCTGCCCTCTCGCGCTATGCAAAGCGTTCCAGTCCCTGCTCTTTTTCCTGCTAAAGGTACTCGACTGAAGCTTAAGCCCTGCTGTAAGTGCAAACAGCAGGCATCAGGGTAAATGGAGCTGTGTGTGCCCGGGAGCAAAGGGTGCGCTGAGTGCTGGTTCCCCAGGGCCTGATGTGCATCGCTTTGTGCAAACCCTTTGCAGCCACTCAAGTGACTTGGAACGAGGCAGAGCAGCAGCTTGCACAGTACGTGCAAATATTTAGACAAACGGCAAGTGTCAGAGGACAGAAATGAGACCTGGAGATGTTCAAGCTGGGGCTGGAAACTAAGTAAAATGCAAACAACTGTGAAAATTTGGAGAGGAGGGAGATAAAAGCACAGGTAGGCAGTGAGAGGGGGCCCCTGAAAATGCCACGAGCTGCACGGCAGCATGCAGCACTGGTGTCATGGAATAGACTGGGGCAGTGTTAAATGTGTTGGTTTTTTTCCTGAGCAATTTGGAGGAGACCGTGCCTGATGCCAGCCCTTGCCTTGGTAAGCAGCTGCTGCCCCAGCAGGAGCTCCTGGCGAGTGATTGTGGTGCTGGAGGGCAGGCGCTTTAAAACGAGGGCTTAATGAGGTGCAGGGCCAGGGGGCCAGGCTGGGAACAGACGGAAAAATTCCCTCGGGAATCCCCTCCCAGAGGAGGTGACACGCGGCAGCCCTGGGAGCCTGTCCTGGGCTGCCTCTTGGCAGGGAAAGGGGCAGAGGGCGTCAGTCCCTTTTTCCTGCCTCTCGGTCCCTTAGCAGCAGTGGGGTGAGGAACGGGCACCCCGGTCCCCAGAAGCACGGGCTGCTGCTTTTTGAGGCCGCTGCTGAGGTGCGTGGGGTTGGAAATGAGAAGGGAAAGAGTTAAACGAATGTGGCTCGAATTAGTGTTGTATAACCAACTTGGCTGTGTTGTCATGGCATAATTGTATCTGATATTGTTTTGTCACTCAGCTGACAGGCAGTGCAAGTTCGGCGATGCCTGCTGCAGCAGTGGATTATTTTAAGGTAATCTGAGGAAATGGCAGCGAGTCTGGCGATGAGAAAAGAGCCAGAGGTTGTGCTCAGGAGCCTCCCCCGAATCCCTGCGCAGGGCTCTGCGGGGAGGTGGCAGCGCTGCGGCTTTCCCATCACAACGGCCAAGCGAGGGGAATGCTTACCTGCGGAAAGAAACACGAGGGCTTGCGTGGAGGAGCCCCTGTGCAGAGCGGGGCGGAGGCGCCGGGTACACGGAGCCCTAATGCTCCTGCACCCAGCTGTGCCTGGGGTTGTCACCAGCGTGCAGCCAGCAGGTCACTGCGCTGGGTGTCACCCCTGCTAGAAGCGTGCCTGCCCCAGGAGAGGCAGGCATCCCGGGGGGCACAACGAGACGAAAGAGCCCGCTCAGCAGGAGGAGGCTTCCTGCAAGCTCTGGGATTCGGATGGAGTCCCACAGAAGCGGGCTGTGGGGGGAAGCCCTGCTGCGTCGTGCGCTTCAGGCCTCTGGGGTTTGCTTGGTGTAAGGTGTTAATTCCCTCGGAGATCTGAATAAAGGTTTGGGGGATTCTGCTTAAAGCTTGCCTCGTTATGCTTTCTTGCTAACGTTTCTTCAACGGCTTTAAAGATGGAATGTGTCTTATGTTGCCTGTTCTGCCTGGAGCTGAGTTGGCAATATCTTCTCTTTAAGACTTGAGGGAAGGAAAAATAATGAATTGACTTATGCTTAGGAATAATTTAAAAGTTGAGTTCTTTGGTTTCCAGACATGGAAGTACTTTGTCATGAGAGACTCTCATCTGGTAACCCTTCAGCCTAGACTAAAGGCTAATTGATTTAAATTGCACCACATGCCCTATCTCGGAAGCAGTTTCCCTGCTGCACAGGGCAGCTGCTAGTGCTGCCGTCCCCGAGGGGGATGGTGAAGCAGCTAAACTCAAAGCAGTATCTGCAAAATCGGTGCTTAAAGGTGTTTGCTCCCAGCCGAAGCAAGCAGAGCGGCCGCGTGCCCCAGGCAGTGGCACTCTGCTGCTCAGACACCGGCGTGTCCCTCAGCACTTCTCCGAAGAAGCAGAAACCCTCGTCCAGCCACTCTGCGTACGGAGGCTGGAGGCACAGCCCTGTGATACAACATGTTAAGGCCTCATTTGACTTTGGTTTCCTCCCACCTGACAGCCTGAGAACCTGTCATCCAGCTGCTTGTCCTGCTGCGAAAGCTCTTGCTGGGTGAAGAACCAGCTCTGCATCTCCTGTCTTCAGCCACCAAGAGCTGTAAAAATATTTGACCGCTTGCTGGGTTTGAAGCTCCCTAGGAGGAAATGCACATTCAGCTTGAAAACGACCTTGTCTGATGTTGGGGAAGCTTTCTGTTGTAATTTAATACAGCAGCAGAGCCTCAGGAATCCACGTCAACATCTGGGAACTGACGGATGCGCTGGGAGTGGGCACAGTGCGTGTCTGTAAAGGCAGCGTTGTCCTCGCTCAGTCCTGGGACGATTGCTGCCTTCTTCCCAGGGTGACGGCAGATCTGGGTTCAGGCTGGCACAGCGCGCTCACAGCCGGTGAACGGCAGCTTGTGTTTGGCAGAAAGCAGCCGTCCTGTGTGCTCCTTCCCAGCCCGTGCTGTAAGCCCTACCCTGACATTCTCGCAAGTACTTCGTGTTCCTCCAGGTTCTCTGCAGTATTGCCCTTTCCTCCACCAAAACCCTGTTGGCTGAATAGGGCAGGTGAAATGAGCAAGCTAGAACATGTGTGCAGTTCCAAGCGAGGAAGCAGCGTGCCTATCCTGCTCCCAAACCCAACAGAGCAACCTTCTGTCTTTGGGAGTTGGATTTCTGGGTTCCTATGCCAGCATGGCATCGAGCAGTGAGGCCGGGCAGTGAATTGTTTGTTTTTGAGCAGCAGCACTGCTCTCATGCCCGAGTTGTGGTGCTGTACCTAGGAGCCGGCTTTCCCAAGGCTCCAGGGATACAGGAGTGGAACTGGAATGCAGCACAGTCCGCTTTGGGTGTTGCAAGAGGTTGGGAAATGCTCTTTTTCTGGAAGAGCATTTCATCTACTTTTTTCTGGAGAAGTACGCCACAGCCCGGTTCTCACAGCCTCTTTTTATACCTGAAATTTGGTCTTTCCCCATCAGTCTGATAACCTAAAAGGGATTCTCCTCTCCCAACAAAACTCGCCTTGCTGGCAGCAATGCTGCTCAGGGTCACCACTCCGCCAGTTCTCAGTGCGCACTGGGGCACCTGCAGTCCTTGTGCTGGAAGCGAACGGCAGGCTGGGTCCCCTGGCCCAGCCAGGACACCTTTAGTCACGTAACCAAATCCAGACAGGCTCAGCTTCATTCTTTGGGCTTCAGCAAACCCAGTTCTGCAGCTCGGAGCGAGCCCTTTAGGCCGAGCAGCCTGAAACCCACGGCTGGTCCAGCTTGTTTGCAGGCAGCTCCTGCTGCGTGGTCGCACGGGGCAGAGCAGAGCCAGCTGTCTGCTGGCACGCAGGGACTGCTGCGTGCTTTCTGCGTGCTTCATCACGGGCACGGGCCTCGCATGGGCAATGCCCCCTGGCTGCTGCTGCTGCGGGGCTGGGTGAGCTGTGATAACGAGCTGTGATAATGCCGTGGCTTTGGGGCACAGAGCCAGTGCCCGCTGCACTGGTGGGCAGAGGTGGCTGCTGCCCTTGCTGCACCCTGGGAAGTGGGTGCAGAGCGCTCTGCGATGCCTTGGATTGAAAGCAACATTGGTGAAAAGAGCCTCTGACTCGGCGGGCTGGAATAAGTCAGCCCCCCGGGGTGTGCAGGGCTCAGCAGGGCAGGTTGCTCCATCCTCTGAAGGGAAGCCGGCTGCGATGCAGGCGTGGCCAGGTGCTGCTGCCCACAGCTCTGATACTTCAGCTGGAAGTCATCCTGCGGCAAGCGCTCATTTCCTAAGTAAACCTGCGGGTCTCTTTGTCCTCAGTTCCCCAGAATAATAAAGCTTGTATTGTGGGAAATGGTGGAGAATAGAACTTGTTAATCAATTGCAATTTGCCTTGCGTGCGCTGTGGGTGTGCCGTGCCGTGGCGGAGGTGCCCGACCTGTCCCGTGGCTGTGCTCCCCCGTGGGAAGCAGCGAGCGGCTGCAGCGTGAGGCCAGGTCCCTGCTCTTCCTGCTGGTGACTCACGGGTGGCCGGGAGTTGCCACTGCAAGTCTGGGCAGGCCTCGTTGGATTCTGCTGCGGCTTCTTGAGAGGCACCTGGCTCGGGAGTGCTGTTGCTGTGCTTTTACCACTGTGCTGTGTTAATGGAGCACAGGAGCGCGCCTGGGTTTTTCCTGTTTAGAACATTATGGGCAGCATTTGGCTGACCGCAAAGTGGCCGAGGGACCTTGCAAGATCTATCGTGGTATTCCTGCTCTGACACAGTAACACATTTCTGGCCTTTAATGTCCTGAGCTGCTTCACCTGGATCTGTGCGCAGAATTTGTGCATGTTTTTGAGCTCTCTTCTGAGTCTGCTCCCTTCTTCTGAATGCTACGCAATATTGCTCTGAGTTAGCTGTTCCTTGTGAAAGTGCCCCAGGATCTGTGGCTATCCCCACCTGGTTGTTCAAGGCCAATGCTTTTCTCTTGCTCAGCCTGGCAATAGTGGCCAGGACCTGATGGCATCCATGCATTTAGCTGTTGGGCTGCCTCGGACTGGAGTTAGTGAGCTGGAAAGGAGGGGTGGCAGGCCGGCAGTCTGTTAGATAAATCCTTGTCCCAGCTTTTCAGATGTGCCTCTCAGGTGGCTACCCGTGCTGACTAGGAAGCATGCTCTGGACGTTCAGCAGTTCTACTTTTTGAGCAGATGGATGCACAATGACCAGCAACATCTGTAAATACAACCTGAGGAGGGTGCAGCTATGGGTGCCATCCCTCCCCCGGGGACGGTACAGCTGCTGTGGGGCTCTGCTAGCGGCAGCAATGCACAGGAGGCATCTTATTCCAAACCCTGTCAACCTCTCTGTTGGAAGTGAGGAGGGCACAATCTGTTTTTTTTCTAACTTTGCTAACTGGAATTTGTTTGTGCTTTTCAGGTGCTGGAGAATCTGGCAAAAGCACCATTGTGAAGCAGATGAAGTAAGTGAGAGTGCAGTCATGTGAACTGCATTTCAGTGCAAGATGAAATAAGAAGCCTGTGGTGCCCTTGTGCTTTGGCTTGGGAGTGACGGCTTGGTTTTCTTCCAGGATTATTCATGAGGATGGCTATTCGGAGGAAGAATGCAAACAATATAAAGTGGTTGTCTACAGCAATACTATCCAGTCCATCATTGCAATCATAAGAGCCATGGGAAGGCTAAAGATAGACTTTGGGGAAGTTGCCAGAGCAGTAAGTATTTCACTTATTTCCCTTGGTCTGAGTTGGTGCTGTGACTTGTGTTAATGAATCCTGGAAATTCTGCCCATGGCGCTTATAGTGGAAGTACGTTTGTTACAAGACGCATTAGTGGGACACTTCACAATCTGTAGTTTGAATGCTCAAATAAATAAATAAAAACCCCCAACCGTTTGTATAAGGTATTTGAATTTTTAACAACGCTCTTAGTTTTGGTTTAAATTGCTTGTCTTTGGACGTCAGTCCTCATTAGTGTTTCAAGGCGTTGTGCCAGTTAGGCTTTAAGCTGAACCGAATAAACCTTGATCACACTTGCAGTCTTAGCATTCTGAGGATTGGAGGCCCTCCTTTACCATTCAGTTCTGCTGATTCCATGTGCTCTTTCTTACTGGTGTTCACCATCAGTACTTCAAGCTGGTAGAAACTGAAGAGAGGAAGTCTTAATTGTCGAGGTGGGGGAAGGCACAGGCAGAATGGGAAGTCAGAAGCTCCTGAAAATGAGTAGGAGATGGGAACTGTGTATTCTGGGCGGTGGCTGCACAGCCTGTGACGTTTGCTGACTTGCACTGATTCCTGGTGCTACAGTTAATACACGGTAAGTGAAGTAACACACCTTGCTTCTTTGTGTCGCAACTGCAGATATTGGGAACTTAAGATACAAAGTGTCCTTGCTGAAGGGCATATGTTCACTTGCACACTAACCTATGCTGTTACTCAACTGTTCTCCAAACCCACCCTGGCATTCTGCTCCACCTTTCCTGTGAGCTTGTTCAGGTTGAGTGATGATCTCAGCCTGGCTAATGTGGCTGGAAGGAGGAAGATGTTAAAATCCAAGTTCCTTTTTTTCAGTTGACCTGCCCAGGCTTAGCTTGCTTTGCAAAAGCAGAACAAGAGCTGAATGCCAAGAATTTTCCCGTGCCCCAAACTACCCTGAAGGGCAAACAACTTGTTACAGTTTTGTAGGACAAGACCCAGGGTAACTAAATCTACTGCCTCCCAGCAAACCACAGCCTATGACTTGTCAGCATAGCGCTGTAGCCATAAGTGCAGCACGTGCAAAGACTCATAACTGAGCTCCAGCTCTGTATTGCAGTGATTTAAACCTTGATTAAATTAATTTAGGTGGCTGTTGCCTTGTGCTCGGGAGAAGTACCCTTTGGAGTAGCAGGCAGATTTGACTGTTTTCCAAGCTTTGCTTGTAAATGCTGGACAGTAGAGGTACAGATGCTCATTGGAGAGGAGCAGATATTAGGAGGGAGACAGTCTGCTGCAGTTGAGAACTTGTTGGGATAGTGAAAGGTCTCTTACATCTGAAAGGAAGCTGGCAGGTCTGATCACTGCAGAAGTAAACATCAGTGTGGGATGTAGGTCAGCCTGTTTTCCACTTTCAAATTCTGCTTGTTAACTTGCTTAGTTTGAAAAGCTTGAGCAAAAGCTTGCTTTTCTGCTTGGGAAGTAAGGTCCTGCGTTAAGACTTCTGAAAAGAATTTTTTGTGCTCTGGGGCAGAGAGTCAAATGCGGATTAGTCTGTCCTATCTCCTGATGAAACACTTGATTAGGAAATCAGTCTCCTTTCCTTCTGACAGCTGTTGCAGCAAACAGCGTATCCTCAAAGCTTTAAACCTGCAATCATCCAAAACTTGCTTTTGATACTGAGATTTTCCTTGTTACCATACTGTATGACACTGCTCTAATAAAGCTTTTTCAGTTATAAGCCATTATTTATGGTTTAGCCTACAATAGCACATTGGCATTCTTACCTCTCCTCTGATGATGGCATCGTGTGCCACGTTACTGAAATGCAGCATTTCTGATGTGAATGCTGCCTGTTGCGCTGGGGTGCAGATCCCTGTGGTGCTGGTGCTACAGAAGTGTTGTGTGCCCCAGGCTGCCACCCGCCAGCAGTGCATCCCACCCCCCAGGCTGGAGGAGGTGGTTTCTGGCACAGATCTCACTTTTCTGACTGCAGGATGAAGAAGAACGTGGTGATTTGGGGGAGAAGACTGGACAGCATGGCAGAGGGGAACATGACTCCTTAGTGCAGTTGCTGCAGCCTCTAAGACAGTTTCTGATGCTAAGTTTTGATTTTTATTTTTTTTCTTCACCTCTCCTTGCAGGACGACGCCCGTCAGCTGTTTGTATTAGCTGGAAGCGCAGAGGAGGGAGTGATGACTGCTGAGCTAGCTGGTGTGATCAAGCGATTATGGAGAGATGCTGGGGTTCAGGCCTGCTTCAGCAGATCAAGAGAATATCAACTTAATGACTCTGCATCATAGTAAGAGACCGTTACTGGCTTCTGGGTTCTTCACAGCAAACCAAACACTGGTCCTCAAAAAGGATTTCCGTGGCTGCAAGCAGACAGAAACCGCTTCCAGAGTGGGCGGACAGAAACCGTAGTTAGCTGGGCTGGGTTTTCTCAGGGCTTGGCTCTCAAGCTGACTTGGAGCTTTAGCTGATCAGTCAGTTTTACTCTATCTTTTCCCTGAATATAAGACTAGAAAAAAGAAAAAGCATTCCTTGAGCCTAGGTGAACTTGGCGATCTGCTTGTAGTGGAAGAACAATGCACCACCTTG